GTGTAACGAAAGTGATATTATTCAGCTAAGACCAAGACGACGTTTGTTTCGTGCGGATCGCGGCGACGGCGACGATGTGCGCGTTGCCTACCTATTTCGGGACGATCGCGTATTTTTTAACGATAATAACGTATGGTTCGTCTGCGGTAGGTCGGGCGGGCGGGCGGGCGGTGGCTCAACGACGACGCGGACGATTGTGGCGCAACTTTACTGTGGGTGCGGTTGTGCGAATGTGCGCGCCCTATATGGGTTTCGCGGGTCGGCCGTCGACGATCGATAACCACCCTCTCAGCCGTACAACCCTGTTTTCCCGTATATACACACGCGTAGGTAATCATTTCACTACCGTCATCGCCGTCGTCCCTTTGGCCACGTCATCGTCTCCGCCCGCCCGCCACTCGCCCACCGCAGACACGGTGTGCAGTCTAGAAACTTTGAAAACGTTAATAATATGCTCGCGCCACATTGGTTTGATCACTACCTCCTATGTATAAACAGTGGTGGTTACACAGTATACTTCTCTGATGTGTATTGTGTGTTGTGCTTACCGAATATTATTTTAATTACTGACTAATCGATCGTTCGCTCTGTGCCATAACACCACGTAGATACCTACATAAATACATAATTTATGATATTTCTAAAGTACCTACTTGTTGTTATATGACTGCACTCTTGAAGTTTTAAATGTTAATATGTCTATTTGTATATTAAATATGCTATTATTTTAAAGATTAAACATATAGTTAAATTATATATTGGATTTGCAAGACAAAACATTATTTGTAACTTGTACAGTTAGAACTATATTATTCAAGTTAGTTAACTTTTGGTCGTATCAACTAAATAACCTGCACCAATATGGCTATAAATATATTAGCACAAGTTTCAACAGCGTATCTAAAACTTGAGTCTCGATCAAAGGGTAGAAGCAGAGTGATTAAATTAACTACTATTCTATATTGATATGGGAGGTTCTCTACTACGCCCCACATTAAACGTCTTATTGAATTTCTATTTTATAATTATATTATTTATTTTTTTATTATTTAATTCGATGCTTATTTGAAAATTGTACATTACAGCTGCAGTTATAAATGTATAAAAAAATCCAAATCACCACATCCAAGCGAAGAGAGATCCACCCATTACTCCCTCAAATAATTGTGTCACCCTTAAAGTATAGAATAAAATTCTCGTCGAGTTAATAAGTAAGCAGAATTATAATAAAAGATAATTGTGCAATTACTTTGCTCAAAGTCTATCGCAGGATCAACATGCCTATATTATTAATGCTAGCTACAATAGCTTATAATTAATTCACATTATATGCTTGACAACAATTACATTTTTATTGATTGTTTTTTACACGTGAAAGCACGCAGGATATATTTAGCTAAGAAGAGACAAAGACTACCTTACTTTTATTTTTAGTATTATAACCTATTAGTGTATATATTATTTATCATCCTATAAATGTATAAATTTAAATGGAGAAACGATATACTATTATTGAAATTTATAAATAGAAATTACATCGCTCTTAAATTATATACTAGGTACGCGTTTATTAGAGTTTTATAAATTAACCGTTCTTCTAAATTTATTCATTGAGGTAAAAATTATTATAAAGATAAATTATAGGAAAACGGAAAATTTACGCAAATCTAATATTATTATTAATAACATTGTTTTATAAGCATGGTTACTTTGAAACTTCTACTTATATTATTTTACACGGAATGAAATTTTAAAAGTATGTAGGTACATTCATTTTAAGATAATTTACTTATTTAAACGATGAACTTATTCACTCTAACACACTGTTTTACGGTAAGATGGTATAAAATATTGATTCAAAAATATATAACAATAATACTCGTATAATAATATGGTATATATATATATGTGTGTATTTTGTTGAGCTGTATCAAAAAAATATATGAAATATATTAAGTAATATAATTTAACTGACCGTTTCTGTTCAGAATCGTTTTTTCGTGGTATATATCATTGAAATTTGAATTCAAGTTTGATACACCCATAATAATGAACCACTTGATACCTAATGTACAACAGAGTGGTCTTCATTTTTCTACCTTTATATATTTTTAATTATTTATTATTATAATATTATATTATCATATATTATTAATATATTATTATTGCTATTAATTTATAAGTAAAAATATTGCGTAGGTAACTATTATATATCGGCTACTATCATGCAACGATAATTAGTTTACATTTTATGACAATTCAATTGTGTAATTGTGAATGTAAAAAAAATAAAATGGAAAAAGTTTTAAATTTCTACAGTTAATATTTTTTAAATTACAAGTTAAAAATATAATAACAATAAGAAGTAACTAAAATCAATAAAAAAAAAACCATTGTTTTACGATGGAATAAACAATTTTGTACTATCTTATGTGGTGCCTCATATAGATACGTTGTATTCTATTAAATATTCAAAACTTTTTACTCACAAACAAAATTCTGATCTGAATATTTCAAGTTTGTGTAAGTTTTGAATGACAAAAAAAAAAAAAATTAAATTTTGTCAAAAACTAATGTTACATAAATATTATTGTATTTCCAAATTTTTAATTAATTTTTCCTGAATATTTTGAAAATTACTATGTTTATTTTCATTAAAATAATAATAATAATAATAATATAAAAATATCATTCCGTTTGCTTGGAATCTAAAACTTTAAAATGAAAATGTAGGTACCTCATAAACTCAATAAATAAAATATCACGAATGTATTCCTCGTTTATCTAATTACACTATTATTTTTTACGTATTATAATTATTATTATTTTAATGGTTTCAAAATTGTTTAAAGAGTATTCGATTAATAGATAATCAACTTGTTCGTTTTTTAAAAATTTCAATGTGGACAATAATTTAAATAAATTTAAAAATGTATTACTAATTTATAGTAAATTATTAGTGGTCCTCAGTCTACACTTTTAATTTAGAAATCTTATGGTCTTATTCCTTAATAGTTTTTCTATACGCACAAAAAGTATATTTTTGTGGTAAAGAACCAGAAAGCAAACTTTTATCATAAATTAAAAGAATATTAAATTAAAAAGACATTAAAATAATCAATTTTAAAATAATAACGACTTAATTCATTTAAGTTTATATAAAAAAAAAAATGTTATTGTATAGCCAAAGTTCTCTTTTGTGGTTAAAATATGGCTGGGTGGTTTTCTTGCCACGTAAAATGGTTTAAATTAATATGTTATGGACGATGTAAGTGATGAAGCGTTCACTTATGTCTTTGTGTCAGTAAATATTGATTATTTGTATGTTGTGACATGAAATTTGAGAAATCAAAATATAATTTTGACACAATTTTGAATAAAAAATAAAAAATTAATAAGCCATTTTCACAATATTTTAGATAAGACGTCAATATTAATGAAAATTGATAATTATTAATTAATAATATTTGTACAGAATATAAGTATGATTATTCTAAGAACGCGTAATTTAGTCATGTTTTAAATTAAATTATGAAATAAATATGCTAATTTGATTGATCCAATCACTTTAAGTAATGTAAATAATTACAAATACTTAGTTAAGTATAATATTAAAATTAAAATAAATAAAGTGACAATGTAATATTAGATTATAATTTTTTTTTTTTTTTTCATTATTAGGTGACTATAAAATATAGTTGTTTGCTTTTCATAATTTTTAATTTTATTAATTTTTAATCAATTTTTTTTTTTTTAATAGTTTATTTTATAAATGTACAAATTTGTTTTTAAGAGTATCAAAATATTCAGAATGCCTCGTAAAAAACTGAAATAACCAAATTTCGTTATTTTTTTTTTTTTTTATTTGTAAAATTGAGACTTTATATAGGTCAAATTAGATTCCGATTTTAAAATCAATATTTTCAAAATTTATAATAAAGTTTATACATCACGTCATATTGTTTGAATATTTTTCTGGTTTTATTTTAAGTTAATTAAAAAAGTCCAATAATAGTATAGTATATAAAAATTTATATTGTAATAATTAAACCTAAATAAAAATTTTCCCATTTCATATAACTAAAAAAGATGATCGACGTCCATAAAAGGTTTAGATAATGGCCTGTTGTTTTGTAAATACAAAACTTCCTGTGGGTAGAAATTTTTAATCATTGCGAAATAGTTTGATTTTATTTTTCGGTATGGTTTATTTTATGGTCGTAGCACCACATAACTAAAAAATTACATTAAATTTTGCTTTTTAATTAATATTCAGCTCCAAGAGCCATAAAACAATAGATCCACCAGCTCTCAAGGCATAGGTACTCGACAAATAACAATCAATTTGATATTAATAATAAATAATAATATTACCGAATACCGATGTTAAACAAATATACATATAATGTACCTATATCAACTTTTAGATATTCGAAAAACCGGAAAAACGTATTTATTTGATACATTAAAATATAATTGAATAATACACTCTGTGCTTCAATCCTTTTGGCTTTTGGACATCACCTCCGTACCTACACCGCTGCAAATTTCAAACATACATTAGGTAGAAACTGTTTAGCTCTGAATTTTGTAATATTGTATCAAATTAACATATTATCGAATTTAAATGTAAAGTTGTAAAGTAAATTTTAACTTATAAATAACTATGTAAAATATTAGTTTAAAAATTGAAAAAAAAATTAAAATCAAGAAAATAAACACTCGAGATAACCTTTAAGCCTAGGTAATTTTTTAATTTATTAAAATATTGTAATAACTTGTACTCACTTTAAGCTAATTATTATTTATTCTTGTTGAAGTTGGATTAACTGAATATTTTGTTAATCTACATTCTACATTATATTCCTTAATATATATGTAATATATCATAATATAATACTATTATTACTATTATTGGAGGTAGATTTTGCAATAACAAAATAATTTTTACCGCCAGCTGATAAAACAGACTGACCACTGATAAGAATGCGTAACGCTTGCGCAAATCTAATAGGTAGTTCATACTATAAGTCGTTGGTTTCAAGTTCACCGTCTACATACACTACACATTGACATATCGACATATCTATATACATTGTGTATTTGTGTGTGTTCTGATTACATCGCTTGTTGCAATTTATAGTGCAATATTTTACGGAACAGTAAGTTTTGTATTCAATAACAAATCAACTATTAAAAATAAGTATAACGAAATACAAATCGGTAGCTTAATATCAAGTTTTTGACTAGAAAACTTTTTTTAAATAAAAATCGTTTCTTTCATTATGTCTCTTTTATTTAATGTAAGACTAGTTAAATGCATAAAAAGAATTTTGCCTGTTGTTAAACATATTCTGATCAATTATAACAATCGACCTATAATGTTTTCTAATTCAAAACAAAGTATACTAAACTCTGTTCAAAACATATCCCTTTTAAAAAACCCAAATGCAACAAAATCAATAATCTTTGGATTTTCATTACTTGGTTTATTTGGACTTGACGATAAGAATGAATCGGAGCGTAAACTAATCTATACCATTAAAAGAGGTCTATTGTATTTACAAGTAAGTAAACATTTAACTAATTTAAAATATAGCACTATTCATTACATTTTCTTTTACCTCATCTTGATGATCCTGGTTACAAATTGTAAGTTTATTTTCATAGAAATAAACCAAACAGATAATATTATAGTGTATGGTATTTGCTTTTATAGCTAAGTCATGAGACAAAATATTTTTCATTAAATCATTAAATTATATTACAAGTAATGTGGTTTTATATATAAATTGGTACCTAATAAACAATTATATAATATGAGCATTTACAAAAATTAATAGTGTAACTATGATACCTTATTCTACACTTATCGAATTTATTATAAATGATATGGTATAGGTACATTTATTTTGTTTATTTTTATCTATATTACTTTCTTTTTACTTGAGATAATAGACTTAATGGCAAATACTGAAAATTTCAACATTAAAATTGCTTATTATTGGTTCATACCAATGTTATTATTTATTTTGACAAGCATCCATGAATATAGGTAACATATACAGTCATACCTAATACTTTATAATTTTCTACATATTGATTTAATTATAATTGTAAATGGACATATATATGTTTCTGGATATGCTTTAGCAACTCTTGTATCTTATTTTTGACTGAGGCAAAGAATAAGGATTACTTCTTATACCTTAAAGGTTATATTAATATATTGAAAATTTTACCAACAATATAAACATAGGCGGAACCAGCTTTCATGTTCAGGGGGTACAAATATTTCAGAAGATCTTCCTCTCTCCAGAAATAAATACTATATATTATATTCCTTTCAATAAATTTGATTTAATAATACAAGTTGTAGTATATAATTATTTAAAAAAAACTACAAATAACCAAGTTAACTATATCATATAATACACACAATAACTTTAATTAAATAATAATCTTTCAATTTCTTATTTATATCTACCTATTGTACTTATATTAATATTATTCACAATATCATATGACTTTTATTCTCAACTTTAGTTTTAAAACCTTTAATCACTGCATCGGTATCAACTTTTATTGCTAATTCTCATTCTATACTGAGAAGCATCAATGTGTTTAATCTATCTTGTATCATTATCATTTAAAGTTTCGATTTTATAATAAACAAATTGGAAACCGACCTTTCCCACATACAACTAATCACTGGTATTATCATAAACATTTGAATAACTCAAAAAAAGTTACTTAAATACGACCTATGGTTAGATATTTTTAACCATATTAATATATTATCCTACCATGAAGTGATTTAACTTTTATAGTATCATTTATAAAAATCAATTTTTTGGTAGTTCAATGGAAACCATATTTAAATTGCAACTTATAATTTTTTGCTTAACTCAAATTAAAGCAGTCTTTTGGGATGATTAAGGCATGCTACTGCATACCCTGCACACCTTGTGGCTCCTTATTCATAACTAATAAATTATAAATATTAATATACTAATATTGTTTTTTATATTTTAGGATAATAATTACAATGCTTTTGAACATACATTACACGATGCTCTTAAAATAGCCACTGATTTAAATCATTTTAATGGTATTACATATGTATATGATATCTTAGCAAATGGAGCACTTACCAATAAAGATTATGATAAAGCAAAAGTATTATTTATTAAAGTTGTTCAACGATTATATCAACAAGGAGGTGTCGATGAAGATCTTAATATTGTACATGTAAATTTGAAGATTGCTAAAATCTTAGAAATTCAAAAAGATTACAAGTGATTATTATATTATTTATTCATTCTGTTATTAAATATTATAAAAAATAGTAAAAGTATCAATTTATTAATAATATGCTTGATTGAATTTAAAATATCTTATAATATTATTTAAATAAATTATAAGTATAAATGCTAAATTGCATAAAATATAAATTTATTTAATGGGTCAATTGTGTTTAAATTAATGTATGAATAAACGATGTTCAATAATTGTTTATACAACTTGACAGTATAATCCTAATGATATAAATAAGTACTATAGAATAACTAAATATTAGTTGTTTAATCAAACGAAAATCAAAATTATTTAAATTAACAAATATTTATTAATAAATATTAAAAAGCTGTATACTTATTTTGTAACTAAAGATTCTTCCATTTTCATCACAATTTTCAATTTACATGTATTAAGTGATGTTAACTTATACATAATACTGTGTTTTTATCTTGATTTTAAATATGAATATTGGTATATTATAAATTATACAACATTCTCTTAAGTTATGAAAAAAATACAGTAAAACTTAAAAAATTAACAAAATTATAAGATTGAATATAGTATTTTTATTGTTTCTAAATCATAAATTAATTAATTATTATTTTGATTTTAGTAATATGAATTTAAACTTGTTTCAGTTCTTCCAGACTTGGTTTCGAGTTCTGTTTAAACATTTTGAAGAAAAAGTATGAAATTGATCCAGAAAATGAAGATGTCTTAGGTTTATATTCTTTAACATTAGATGCATATGCTCGTCATTTAATGAATCAAGGAAATAATACGCATGCATGCACTTATTTTAAAAAGGCATTTGACATTAGTGTGAAGTTAAATGGTGAATTGAATGAAATTAATGTTATTTTGCTGAATGATTTAGGAACTATGTATTATGTTCGTGGAATGTTAGAAGAAGCATTATACTTCTTTGGAAAAGCGGAAAAAATTGGGAAACATTTTCCTGACATGGAAACATTTTCAACAATATATGTAAACCTTGGTAATATTTTCTTAAAACAAGGATTGTTAAAAGAAGCAGAAAAACATTGTGTAGAAGGAATGAAAAATGCTAAAAGACATCATTATGAAATAGGAAAAACAGAAGCAGCCAATTGCTTAGCTGACATAAAAAAAGCTATGGAGTGATTTATATCAATTGAGTTTATTTTTTGTTTCTTAAGCCAAATGTTTATTTTCATTTTACTTTTTCAAATTACTAATAATTATTTGTTTCGTTAATCTTCATGATTTTTTATATTATGTATGTAGTGTAGACTAATTATATACCAGAAAAAAAATTGGATGGCTATAAATCATTAGTTATCAAAATTAAAAAATATTTATATTTTACAAAAAAACAACATTTTGAATACAGTTCAATTATAAAAAAAAGCTTTTTAATGTATGCTTATACTAATGAGTTTACTCATTTTGTATAATATAAAATTAATAGTTGTAAGTGACAATTTTTACTGGCTGATTTTTTGAATTTTTAGTTATGGCTCTCTTGTTTATTAATAATCGAAATGTTGTTAGTTATCTTAAGTAGCAATTAAACTTATACTATCTTATTTTATTTAATATTTATTATAATTTATACAATTCTAGTCAAAATAATTACATATTTATTTATTTTTTTTTTTGTTAAATATTGTTGACAAAATGTTTTTTTATTATTTATATTTATTTTACAGTTTATAACTTGTACAATAACATTTTTTATACAAACTAGTGTAATAAAAATTTGTTAATAACCAATAGAATAGATTACAAATTTAATTGATTCATTAACTCATTGATATTCAATAGTAATATTAAATGCTACTACTATTAAATATTTATAATTTTTTATAGAATAAAATATATTAAATACATTAAATTGTTATATTTATAATCAAAAATAAATTAATTTCATTCATATAATACTTTATCATTATTAATATGATAAAAACTATTACTACTATAATTTAAGTTTCAAAATATTAGCTAATAATTATATAATATTTTTATTTATTTATTATTATTATTATTCTACCATTGTTTTTTATTTGTTTTACTTATTAAGTATTTATATGTTAGTTATTAACAATAATTTCAATGTGCAAAATAGTCAACAAAATTATGATGTATATATAAGTGTTTTTTAATTTTTAATATTTAATTATTTCTTATTATTTAAAACTAAATTATTGTAGATTGTGTATATTAGTTAAATTACAACTAATTTAAATATATATATATATATATATTTTATTTTAAGTAATTTACCGAGTTGTTGATTATAATTTCTCTTTATGTTAATAATAGTTTAGATGTTTATGAAATTGTATGTTTTCTTCTTATTGTTTTAATTTACTGCTAACCTAGAAACAAATCTTGTTTTTATATTGTTTTTTGAACTTTAGGTAATTCTAATTAAGAATTTAATATTCAACACCTATGATTGTTTATCATCAGTGTAATTTTTTCAAATGATTTAAACATAACTGTTTTAATTTTTATTATTCCTTAAGTATTTAATGGTTTATAAAAGTGTATAGAGTTTGATAAATAATTAAATAATTTTCTGTGTGTGTATATTTAGGATTTTTTGGTAAAAATGTGTATTTAGAAATTTTTAGTTATATATATTCTAGTGATTTTAATTGCATAAATATCTGAGTTTGATTAATAATTTATTAAAAAAACCTCAATTTTAGATCACCAATTGGAGATTACAGAATTTGTTTATTCTATTGAAGTGCAATAATGTTAATGTACATATACATGAATTATTATTATTATATATATATATATATATATGCATTTTTATTATTTTAAAACACCTTTTGTAGTCATAGAAATAAGTTTATGATATAGACTAACTTATCAAAAATATGTTGTTCTTATTTATAAAAGATGTAAAACACAAAATAATAGTAATAATCTTTTTGATAAAAATACATTTTTATGAACTAAATGTGATTTCAGTACAACAAATCATAATTATATAATTTAGAGCTAGGTACCTATACAAATAAATATTCTGTAAAATCATATAATCAATAAATAAAATTATCTTATTTTATTTTATTTATTGTATACATTTTAATGCCTTATAATTATACAAAACATACTAACATGATTATAATTTTATTTTAAAATAATACAATACGGGGACTTAATTATTATAAGCTGTATTTAGGTCTAATTTTTAGTTCTAAAATTAATACAAATTTTATTTTGGAACAATTATAATATTTCAATTTTTTTCATATAAATATTATTTTAATGAAATTGATAAGCTATTATAAATATTTTTAAACAAAAGTAATACTACAAGTTATTGTATTAAAAAAAAACTTAGAAGACAAAGATAATACAGAATTTACGAAAAATTAAATGATGGTATATGCTATTACCTACCTTGCTTTAATATCCATGCTGGTTTAAAAGAAAGAATAAATAATAAAATCAAATTAAAAATGTGAAAACCCCAAAATTAGAAATTAGAATTAAATAACAATAAGAATCTAATATAGCACCATTAGCATCACCATAAATCAATATCAAATTGTTATTAAACAAAACATTAAAAGAGTATTTTGATTTTATGACTATGGTTCAATTTTTTCTTTAACTAGTTTATGACTATTCAATTTAAAAACAACAAAATTTGATGATGCACAAAATGTAAATTTGAGAACAATTAATTTTGTAACAGATAAAATGAAAGAATGATAACTATAAACGCAAAAATTGTTATATAAATAAACAATAATGTTATTGCTATGAAAAATAAAGATTTTAATTATAATTTTTGAATTGTAATTTCAAAAAAAGAAAAAGATAAAATTAAAAACTAAAAATTACACAGAAAATTCCTAAACTTCTTGGTAAAAGTATAGAAAATATTAAAAATTTAAAAAAACGAATTCTAAGCGATAAAAAATAATATAAAATCACCAATCTGAAAAAAGAAAAAATTATGAATGCAATGAAGAAATCTTGTTTAGAAGATGAAAATCGGCCAAATAGAAAAAAACAGATGAATTGAAAATAAAATAATATAAAATTTTGAATAAAACTCAATACTTATATTAGTAATAATTAATGATACTAGTTAGTGGTTACTTTAAATCATACATTTTATGTTTATATTTATATCCGTAAAACGAAAAATAAAATTAAAAAATTTAAATATTATTAATTTAAGTTGTAAAAAAGATATTGAAAAAGTCACAAATAATACATTTTATATGTTTATAGTTAGGAACTTGGTTCATAATGTTATAAGTTCTTAAATTCTAAAATACAGTGTAAATTAATAAAATTATAAAAACTTTATTTTTAGAGAATCTCAATCTGATTTTTTATTTGTAACAATTTTCCTTAAGAAATTCAAAATGACATTAAATATCTATTTTAATTAAACACAATATCTTTTTTTTGGTACAGATTAAAATATTTTTTTTATCGATTCGGATAATAGGTACTTGGTTCTTAGACGTCTCGTGGTGGCTGTGCGCCGACGTCGTGATTCCAAGGAATGCAGGACCGCCGGCTGCTTTCTTTTTATTTTTATCTTCATATAGTCATGGTGCCAGATCGCTGGAATGTCTACCCAATTTTCTTTGCAGTCTACCCAGTTGTCGTCGTTGTCTATTGTAGAGCGGCAAAAACTCAGTATGAAATTCATCGTGCACAACCAGCTTAGAATCCAAAATAATAGCTGTCGGGGGTTTATATTAGACATATTTTCATAATAATAAATGTATTTGTGAGAAAAGAATAAATTATAACAGCATACTTTTTACACATATTTATAAAAAAATTATCATTGTAAATATGCGTTCAATAAAAGTATAGAACATTGGTATTATGTTATATATTTTATGCAAATTAATATTATGATCACTCATAATGATACAAAAAATGTGTCTCCTGACAAGGCTGTAGCCTTGAAATATTATTATTATTAAATACCCCATCAAACACATATATTTTTTAATTTCAATAAAATATTATAATTAAATCAAAATTTAAAAATTGTTTTCAAATACCAACTAATTTAAAGAAATTTACAGTCATTATATATAGTGACTTTACGTTAATAGGTACAAGGCGATACAAAGAGTATAATTTCCCTAAGACTAAATTTCTAGGGACGTCAAATGTATAGATTTATTTATATTTACACGTTACCTAACCTACTTAAAAATATATTTTGAACATTAGGTACCTACATGACAAAAGAGTTAAATAAATGCACTGTTAAAAACCTTAGATATCTGATAGATATGTCCATCTTGGTGGTCGTCAAGGCATTTAGTATGCAGATCATTTAAGATTAAAAATTATAATACTTGCCATTTTAGAATTTTTATCTACCTACCGAAGTACCGATTATAATTAAAGGTAAGCTATTAAAATTTTAAGCATGAAATAAAATCAATGATTATTAAAAAATTAAAAATTAATAACTAGACATGTGCTTATCTACAGTGTAAATATACAATATTTGTAGTACCTAAGCACTTATTTTTTAGTGATGCTTTTGAACCGGCCCCTCCGTACATTTAACTGATTTAAATAATATTAATACTCTTCACTTACTATAGAGACTTCGTAATACGGTTGTACAGATTTTTGGCTAAAAACAAAATAATATCAAATCACTGTGTTTTTGAGATTGCAGCTAGTGTGGAGATTAGTTCAAATATTTATACTCACAAATTATTGCGAAAATAGTCATTCACTGATAGTTTTGATATGTTATAATATACATTTAGATAGCAGTTAGTAAACTGTAAACTGGTAACCATCGATCGTACCAAACAACAAACATCGTACCAAATCAAAAATATACGGATGTCCACTAAACGCTGCGACTGCATTCCAAACACAGCACTAGGTATTTAGAAAATAATAATAATAATATTTTCTATATTAAATTATAGTTCAAAGTTCTACAAAGCTCATCAAAACTACGAAAATCTGTTAATTATTTCGCAGTTAAATATTAAATATATTAAAAATTCATAAAACTTTTAATTATTTTAACATCGTATGTTTAAACAGACACAATTTTGACAGCATTGAATATTAAATACTGATTTTTCTTTATTTTGTCATTATTAGAAAAATTTTAATCGTAACTGTTGAAATATTTCATTATAACTTAAAAACTATTTTACATACACATAATGACATTTTTAAAAGACTA